GCTAGGATTCCTGTAAACAGCCAACTCCTCTCCCGACTTGGTTTCCTCTTCTTGTAAGCCACGACAGGGTTGTTCTGTCTCTCGCAATATAAATCAACGCGGCTCCTCATCGAGGAGTATGAACGCTTCCAAATCTTTCATGGTAATCAGAGCATCCTCTTCCTTAGACATCTAGCCACAAAAAATCAAACACCAAGCACATCAACATCGCCCCCATGTCGTCGTCAACAGGTGTCGCCCTCAACCTCGGCGCGCCCCCGTCTGAAAAGCTTGCGAGAGGCAACTTTATCCTCTGGAAAACGCAAGTGCTCCCAGCCCTGCGAGGTGCGCAAGTGACGGGACTTTTGGACAACTCCGATGTTGCTCCCCCCCAAGATGGTGGAGATCACCAAGGCGGACAAAACTTCGGCCATGGAGCCGAACCCGCTGTACGGGCCATGGATTGCCAAAGATCAGCAGGTCCTCTCATACTTACTCAATTCTATGACTCCAGAAATTCTTGGACAGGTCGTCGGGAAGGACTCTACCTTCGAGCTATGGACGACGGTGACAAATCTCTTCGCCTCTCAGTCGCAATCCAGGATCACAAACCTGAGAATTGCGATCACCACAACCAAGAAGGGCTCCATGTCAAGTTCTGCCTTCATGGCGAAGATGAAAAACCTTGCAGATGAACTAGCTACTGCTGGTCGTCCGGTGTCAGATCCGGAGATGGTTGATTATATTCTTGCAGGGCTAGACCGTGACTATGATCCTATGGTTGCGGCGGTTGGTGCTGTCAAGAACTTGATCACGGCGGACGACCTCTTCACCCAAATCTCCGCTTTTGATCAGATGATGGAGATGTTGGGCGATTCATCTTCAGGCACTTTCCATACATCTGCAAACGCGGCTTACAGAGGCCGTGGCCAAGCTCGTGGAAGATTCTATCACGGGCGAGGAGGAAGGGGGCGCGGCCGTGGCGACCGCCAGCCCCCTCCTGCTGGTGGAGGCAGTGCCTACAGAGGACGTCCTCGACAGCAACCACAACAGCAGCAAGGGCGTGATCAGCAACAACAACATGACTACCCTGAGTGTCAGATTTGCTTTAAGCATCATCCAGGGGGTGCACGCACATGTTGGTGGCGCTATGAAGAAAATAATCAGGAGGAAAAGGGGGCACATGTTGTCTCCTATGGTGTGGATACCAATTGGTATGCCGACAGCGGAGCTACAAACCACATCACTGGGGAACTTGACAAATTAACGATGCGAGAGAGGTACAATGGTGGAGACCAAATTCACACGGCGAGTGGTTCTGGTATGGAAATTTTACATATTGGTAGTTCAATTGTTAAAAAACCCTGTAGAAACTTTGCACTTGAAAAATATCTTACATGTTCATGAAACATCCAAAAACCTTGTTTCCGTTCATCGATTCACTCTTGACAACAATATTCTTATAGAGTTTTATCCTTATTTTTTCTTGGTAAAGGACCTAGCCACGAGGAGAATCATTCTTAGAGGACGGTGTGTGGGAGGTCTCTATCCACTCATATCATCATCATCATCATCATCATGGTCAAATAAACAAGCTTATGTCGTCACTAAGCCGTCTTCAGCAAAGTGGCACAGTCGTTTGGGTCATCCATCTTCAGTTATTGTTAGATATGTTCTTAGCAAAAATAAACTCTCATATGAGTCTAGTATTGAGTCAGTTTGTGATCCGTGTCAACAGGCCAAAAGTCATCAGCTACCTTATCCTATTTCTACTAGTATATCTACCGCTCCATTGCAACTTATTTTTTCAGATGTATGGGGGCCAGCCCCTACTTCAGTTGGTAGATTTTCCTATTATGTAAGCTTCATTGATGATTATAGTAAATTTACTTGGATTTACTTATTGAAGAAGCGATCTGAAGTCTTTCAAGTTTTCATCAACTTTCAAAATCTTGTTGAACGCAAACTAAACTCTAAGATCATTGCTATGCAGACTGACTAGGGTGGTGAGTATGAGAAGTTAAATTCCTTTTTTCAAAAACTTGGTATTTCGCATCATGTCTCTTGTCCTCATGCTCATCAACAAAACGGATCGGCTGAAAGAAAGCACCGTCATATTGTTGATGTAGGACTCGCATTACTAGCAAATGCATCCATGCCACTCAAATTCTGGGATGAAGCCTTTTTAACTGCTACATATCTTATCAACTTGCTCCCAAGCAAAGTTATCAAACTTGAAACACCCATTACACAGCTTCTTGATGTCACACCTGATTACACATCTCTCCGTATCTTTGGTTGCGCATTTGGCCAAATCTTCGACCCTATAACACACGCAAACTTGCTTTCCGTTCAAAAAAATGTGTTTTCTTAGGCTATAGCCCTATGCACAAGGGGGTTAAATGTCTAGATGTTCCCACTGGTAGGGTTTATATATCTAGAGACGTTGTCTTCGATGAATCCGTGTTTCCCTTTGCATCTCTTCATCCAAATGCCGGTGCTCTTCTTCGAAAGGAAATTCTCCTTCTTCCATCACATCTTCGAAATTTTGATCACGGGGGAGACAATTGTACTGACCAATATGATGATAATCCTGCCAGTTCCTCTACTCTTATGCCTGTGCAGGTTCCTGAAGAAAACGGCGTTCAAAACGGTCAAAACCATGAAAATTTCGCTCAAGATGATGTGTTATTTCATGCTCCAGAAGAAGACGAACCTGGCGCTGATCCCGGTGATGATTTGGCGGCGCCTGGTACTCCTGCCCGCTGGCAGGCCTTGGATCGGGCGCGCACATCCTTTTTGGATCGCGTCCCAGGCGGCCTAGATTCCTGGGCGGGCCAACCCCGCACCGACGCGTCCCCCGACAGCGGGACCAGCCGCGCGGTTGTTTCCTCCTCGCGCCCCGCACGCATGCATGCTGGCGGATCCTCTGCGCCCGTGAGTCCTGCAGCTTCCCGGGCGTCCAGTGGCAGGGGGGTCACACCGAGATCTACTGGATCTTCTGCGCACACGTCAGATGGATCTCCTGCACCAGCAGATTTAGCAGCGGCAAGTGGATCTTCTGCGCCAATACTCCCTGTACACATGCAACAAGAAGAAGCTCCCTTGCGAGTTATGACCAGATTACAAAAAGGTATACGTAATCCAAAAATACGTACTGATGGTACTATACCGTATGGCATGCTATGTATTTCAGGGGAACCAACAACATTAACTGATGCACTTGGTGACCCTAAGTGGAAGACAGCAATGGATGAGGAGTATTCTGCACTTATGAGGAACAAAACTTGGCGTCTTGTGGCCTGACCAAAGAGGTAAAAATATTATTGATTGCAAGTGGGTGTACAGAATCAAAAAGAAAGCAGATGGCTCCATTGACAGGTATAAGGCACGTCTAGTTGCAAAGGGCTTTAAACAACGTTATGGTTTAGACTATGAGAATACCTTCAGTCCCGTTGTAAAAGCTGCAACTATAAGATTTGTGTTAGCCATTGCTGTATCCAGGAGATGGAGTCTAAGACAGCTAGATGTACAGAACGCGTTTTTACATGGTGTTCTGGAAGAGGAGGTGTTCATGAGGCAGCCACCAGGATATGAGAATAAGAAAATGCCACAGTATGTCTGCAGGCTTGACAAAGCACTCTATGGTTTGAAACAAGCACCTAGAGCATGGTACTCCAGGTTGAGCTCACAGCTGAAGTATCTTGGTTTTATTGCTTCCAAAGCTGACACATCTCTGTTCATTTATAACAAGGGAAAAGTAGTCATCTTTGTGCTCATATATGTGGATGATATCATAGTTGCAAGTTCATCACAAAGTGCTACTAATGCTCTTCTACATGATTTGAGCTCAAAATTTGCTTTGAAAGATATGGGTGATTTGCACTTTTTACTAGGCATTGAAGTTAAGAAGACTCAAGATGGCATAGTACTAAATCAAGAGAAATATGTTACTGGGCTTCTATCTCGCATGGGGATGAAAAACTGCAAGCCTGCGCCTACACCTTTGTCCTCCTCGGAGAAACTTTCAGCATATGAAGGAGAGCCACTTCAGGAGGGAGATAGCACAAGGTATAGAAGCACTGTTGGAGCATTGCAGTACTTGACTCTTACTCGTCCAGATATCTCTTTTGCTGTTAATAAGGTTTGTCAATATCTTCATGCACCTACTACTACACATTGGACAGCTGTCAAGAGAATTGTAAGGTATGTTAAACATACTATGGGAACAGGACTGCATTTCAGACGCTCCAATTCCACTCTTGTGAGTGCATTCTCCGATGCTGATTGGGCAGGTTGCAATGATGACAGAAAATCAACTGAAGTCTTTGCAATATTTTTTGGTCCTAATCTTATTCCTTGGAGTGCCAGGAAACAGGCCACTGTGTCAAGGTCAAGTACAGAGGCTGAGTACAAATCTTTGGCTAATGCAACTGCAGAAATTATTTGGATTGAGTCACTACTAGAAGAATTGGGAATTAAGCAGAATCGCATCTTATGCTTATGGTGTGATAATTTGGGAGCAACATATTTGTCAGCAAATCCAGTGTTTCATGCAAGAACCAAGCATATAGAGATTGACTTTCACTTTGTACGTGAAAGGGTTGCAGCAAAGAAACTTGAGATACGGTTCATTCCTTCCAAAGATCAAGTGGCGGATGGATTTACTAAGGCACTACCAGCAAAACCATTTGAAGAGTTCAAGAGGAATCTAAACGTAGGATAGTTGAGATTAAGGGAGGGTGTTAGAATTTGTGTTTATCTCCTTGATGTAATCTCAACCTTATTCTATCTCTCTCTCCCGTAGCCTGCTAGGATTCCTGTAAACAGCCAACTCCTCTCCTGACTTGGTTTCCTCTTCTTGTAAGCCACGACAGGGCTGTTCTGTCTCTCGCAATATAAATCAACGTGGCTCCTCATCGAGGAGTATGAACGCTTCCAAATCTTTCAATTTTTACAGCACTGGAAACATGCATGAACTTGCACTTGATTTAGAACGGAGTTGGCACATCAATCCTCGATCATCTGGCAGTCCTAGCAGTAGAAACTTTTAGCCTGTCATTTTTTGAATCTTTCAGCTGATAGCCATAGACTGTTGCATGCATTGCAGGGAGAGGTTGCTCATAATGTCAGTTTATGTGTGCTTGCTTTGGCTTAATAATTTCAAGGGCAAAGCAAATTAGAAAAAAAAAAACTTTATCGTACCCCAGCGTTGGTGATTCTGGTTGCTCATCCCTTTCTGCATGGTCTGGATAGCTGAGTTCCAGACGAACTGGATCCTCTCGAGCAGCAATGTAGTACTCACTAGATGAACTTGTAATTGTCCCGTTTACTTCGGCCTGGCCATTTAACTGAAAATGGAATCAACATGGCAACTTACACATGCACATGTACGCAAGATAAGTTTGTGGAGTATGGATTGAGTGCTCCTTTAAACTCCCTTTGTTTTATTTTATTTTATTTTTCCATGGATCGATGGACTCTTATACTCATGCACCTTGTTTTGCAAATCTATGTTCTCTTGACGAATGATGTTTAGTTTCTTGTGTAGCTCAATATTTTCCTGGTGCACGAGGCTTGCCTGCAGTTCAAAAACATTAGGCTATTTAGACATAAAACGTACCGCCCTATAATATGGTGGTAATAGCTTCGTAATGATAAAAGCACTTACCTTCTTCTTTAGCTCTTCAGTTTCATCAATCATAAGTTGGTCCTGGAAAGAACAATGTGGTTAGTGGCACTACAGATGCATGATGTCTATATACATATTTTGCATGATATCTACATTGTGGTTAGGAACACTAAGCATTACCTTTGTTAGCCGAATGTTATGTATGCTTGTTTCCAGCTGGTTCTCTAAACCCCTCAAGTCTTCCAAACCTAAGCCGGATAGATGTTGTCCCAGCAACTGTCTGCAGTAGTTTAGTGAATGCACACATGTATTAGTGCTCTTCTCTCTAAATATACTTAGATAATTTGTTGATTTTCTATTACTGTTCATTAGGGGTGTTAACAGTGCAACTTCTGTTATAAGAAATTATGTATCAGAAAACCTTTCTTTTATCACTATTTCATTGTTGCTCAAATAAAAGTTATTTTTTGCTTTTGCAAATATATACAGTTATGTGATATTATACATTGCCTTTCATTGTAAAATTCATATTATTTTTCATGCATGCGGATACAAGGAGTCATCAAACTACGGCAGTGGTAGAGGGAAATGCATGACCAGTTTTCGTCCGTATTAATATTATCTTGAAAATATGAGAAATTGATAACCTTAAGCCTTATTTTTTAATATTTGAGGGAATACAACCAAAGGGAACACACATATATCGATATATGCTCGGACGCTGCATGGAATAACTGTTAGCAATATAGTGCGAATGTGTACTCATCGTAATCTGAGTATGGATAATACGCCTATTAGGGCTTTGAATGGACGTAATTTAATACTTTAGCAGATGCAAAATCAGTAGCTATTTCTTTCATAATTACTATTGATATATCAATCATATAAGTTTACGTGTAATTGTTTTTGTAGGGATAATTTATTTGGCATACCTATGATTCTCTAGCAAGTTATGTAGTTGTTGCCTCAGACGCACTCCCTCCGCTTGCCAGAACTGTTAATGGATTTTCATGTATATAGCAATAGTTTGTGCTCTCGAATTTGAAATAGAACAAATGAACAAAGAGAACCTATATTGTAGTGGGTGTATTCTAATTTGGTGGAATAGTGAATTACCCATTCACTGGAACTGCTAAAGCAAAGAGAATAGTTCCATATTATGTACATAACTATTGCTAACAACCAGATCTAGTTCCTTAGATGTCACTAACATATTGTAATCCCATGTGCAAGATGTTGGGAATGATATCTCATTCACATTTAGACAAGAAAAGTCTATCCACTTTGGGTCGTGATCCTAGATCCCCGGTGAAAAATGGGCAAGGGAGAGCTAGGGGTTCCCACATTAGATATGGCTATATGGAAATGGCCATCCTAATGGTTGTTTGCAAATTAGTGATCATCATACACTATTCCTTGATGATTCTTACTGTTAACTTTCACCGTTGTTATCCTATGAGAAGGTATATTGCTAAATATATGGTGAATTAATTAGAGATGCCATGCATGTTTTCCACATGTCACGAAGATGAGCTATGTACTTTCAACTACAGTATAAGGACACGAAGAAAAGACTCGATGAACTTGGAAGAAAACATAAACCACATGACTAGCTAGCTTATTGATAAACATTGATTGAAAGGCATACCTTAGCCTCAGCGCTTGCACTCATGAATTGTTGGCCCTCCTTAACATGTTGGTATCTTTCAATTATGGATTTCATCCTAGTAAAGGGATAACATATTATAAGCTCACAGACAAGACATAATTATAGCATGAGTGAGTGCATGAGGAAAAGATTCTACATCAATAGTTTCTTTGTGTTACTTTCATACATGGGATGCATATTGGAATGAATGTTTAGTCATAGTATATGCATGTATTACTTGTGTATGATCGAAGGGTAACATAATTTTATTTATATACATTTTTTATTAAACCCATCGGTTCATATTGTTTAAATAGTACCGACCTGAATATTTAATTAAAAAGGGTTTGTGTAGTATTGTCCTAATTTTGAAAACTAAGTACATATGAATAGGTGTAAAAATGGAAACATCAAAAATAAAAAGAAATACGTATGAACTAATGTCCTAGACTTGGCTAGTATCTTGGATGATACCGAAGAAACAAATTGGCTAATGATCTCTATATATAATAATTGATACATGAAAAAAGTATTCATAAGTACTTGCTAATGTGATTTGGAGATAATATATATAGAGGAGAAGTGGGAGCTTGAGAATTTGAGACAGCATGAAATGGCCATAAAGGTACTTCACAATGTTAGTAATGAAAATAAGCTGGAGAGAGAAAATAATGTGTCTCATATGATCAGTAGGTAATTAATATAATTGGAGGGGGAGATAGCAAGGAGTAAACCATTTGCAAATTAACTGTTACTAGGTATGCATGCACACTATGTGGAAACATGTTCAATACAGTGTTTTCTTCAAATATGTGGTGCTTTTGAGTCCTAATCAGTGAGAACTTGTGAATGCATCAACAAATAACACTAGTTTGCCGCAAATAACAAGTAAATAACACTATTTGAAAATACATGCTTAAGTGAGATTACACATATCAACAAACACCACCAGACCTGCTCATATCTTATACAGGCAAGACTAGCAAAATACCAGCTCATCCTTTTACTAAGGTGACATCTCTCGATCGTCAATATAGAGAAAGGAGATGCGTGGACTTCGCATGCTCTGCGAAGTAGGAAAGTAAAATATCGCCAAAAAAATAATTAGGAGCAACAAGGCAGTAATCAATTTGAGATAGCAAGGAGGAAACCATTTGCAAATTAACTGTTACTAGGAAACCATTTGCAAATTAACGTTCTTGGGTGGAATGAAGAAATTTTTTAAATTTAGCTCGGAACATTGACTGATGGCATGGGCATGAATCAATACTGAATCACTTGTTAACCGAGGTTCTAGGTGTGCTTGCAAGATTCATCTACCGGGGTTTGCACGTGTTGAGAGATAGAGGGTATGTTTAGTTGATGGTAAATTCAACCCTCCAATTCTAGATGAATGTTTTGTGCTTTCCTTGGATAGTAGCCAAAATATTGACATTTCGGTGCTCTCTAGCCAAAATATTGGCTAGCCAAATTTGTTGCTGCAGTTGGTAGATTTTGTACTAAAACCAAACATGCTCTAAGAAAGATGGTGGTTGGATCTTGTTATTCAGGAAGGCACGTCGAACTGCATATAGATGCACTCGCAAGCAAGATGGGGGTCTAAATTAGTTTGAAGAAGGCAATATGTTATATATGGATCTATAGAACATGAACTTGGAGGGCCAGAGATATAAACAGCACCGTACCCGGAGTTGGAGTTGGAGTAGTCGTAGAGGCGTCCGGTGTTGGAGAAGAGGAGGACGGCTACCTGCGCATCGCAGAGGACGCCCAGCTCCCTGGCTTTCTTGAACAGCCCGCTCTTCCTCTTGGAGAAGGTCACCTGCCGGCTCGTCGTGTTTTCGATCCTCTCGATGACCGCCTTTCCCCGGACCATCACGTACCACCAGTGATCCACGAGCTTGAGCAGATAGCAAGCACGCCGGCCGGCTAACCGGAGATTTTATCGACACACACACACACACACACACAGAGAGAGAGAGAGAGTGCTGTGTGGGGGAGTTGGTCACCTGAGGTTTGTTTGAAAAGCACTACACTTGTTACCCACTTTGCCTCACAGTCTCGTCATTCCAACGTATTGGAAACTGACACGTTGGCTCACGTAGCATAGATAATGCATGTGCTCCCGGAGTATTATACAGAGCCTATACCCTTCTTTGGGGCAAGGCAAAGACCAACTTGAATGCTAACCCTTGTTAATTTTTCCCCTCTTTGGAGCTTTGTGCAACGACTTTGGGTCATGGTGGCATATGGTGCAGACAACATAATCGTCTGCATGTGCCCACATCTGTACGGCAGCGTATCATCGTCCACTGTCATACAATGTTTTAGTAACAATTTCCCTCCGTACATAGATAAATGCCGGCAGTGCTCCGTACAGATCGATGCAGACTTGTACTCCTCCGTTCCAAAATAGATAACTCATCTTTATACTAACTTTGTACTAAAGTTAGTATAAAGTTGAGTCATCTATTTTAGAACGGAGGGAATAGTTGACAACTTGCTAGTCCATTCAAACCTCTCTTGCTCGATCTTCAGCATATGACCATCGATGTAGAAAAAATGTACCACATATACAAATTGGTGAAAGTTATTTTCATAGTCGATAGTACCTTTTAAGAAACATATTTCGTATGATTAAATTGGCGGCAAAAGAGGCAAAGATCAACTGACCTAGTTTGTGCGACAAAAGTTTAAAATTTCACATGGCATAGAACATGGCCTCACGATTGCTCACAAGTTGTCCAGTCTGTTCTACTCCCTCTGTAAAGAAATATAAGAGCATTTAGATATGTTGTGATCTAAATGCTCATATATTTCTTTACAGAGAGAGTACTAACTAAGAAAGCAAAGTCTATGTAGGTGCTCACTGCTCAAAAAGGTCTTAAGGCATACGCTAGGTTATGTCTTAATGTGACAGTAAAGCCTAAAACTAAGAGGCTACAACACTGAGAATGTCCCTCCATTCAAATTCAAATGTATGACAGGTTTGAAAACCTGAGCATTCCACAGGTCGATCAAAAGTCTTCGCTATGATCCTAATGGAAGACGACAATTTATGATCACCTCTACGTCTAAAAAATAGAGAATCAAACTTTGCTTGAGTTACTGAGGCGGTTTAACATACATCTAGTGATACCAAGATTTAAACATGCCATTGTGAGATCAAAACCATGCGCGCAAGATATGCTTCTCTTTGAAGCACTCTATATGGCTACCGCCTATTCATGCATGTATATAGTCACAAAAAACCACAAAATTATCTCATGAACGTGCCAAGTACGGTCCTATGGCACGACCAACTCTACACCACACCGTCAGCCATGAAAAAATCAGTGTGCAGATGCTGTGTGCCGATCATGCCCTAAGGTAATGCGCTGTACGCACAAAAAATCCAGCCTTTCCTCCCTCTTGTGGGTGGAAAGAGTTCTTCTATCTATGGAGTAAATCAAGTTTACAGTTTACATCACAACATAATGTTACTGTAGCTAACAGCAAACGACCTCAGAGAACAAATTCAGCAGTCCCGATCACTCTTGCTCATCAACAAACTAATGGGCCTTCAGCTAAGCCTTTCAGAGCTCCCCAGGTTGATGATTCGGAGCGAAGGCATGACTCTACAATCTGTTCTCTCTCAGTCAATTTGTTAGGGTGCCTGTCATTCGCCACGGACATGAAAAATTCCATCCGGTACAGCAAAGTGACAAGTAGATCAAACTTCGGTGTTCCTATTTGCTATTTCTTCCAGTCAACTGTTAGCAGCATTTGGAACAGAACCCTGCGGCGATGAGCTCGCGACCATGGCCTTCTGCGTTTTGTTTCTTGAGAAGGTTTTCGCATACAGGGCTCCGAATACAATGGCCTGGTATAGCACGGAGTTCGTTTTTAATTGGAACAGAGACAAGAAACGTTGTGAGACGAGTGATAAGACAGAGATAGATAACTTACAGCTCCAACCCACTGCATCCAGCTAAGGGGATGCACGAACCAGACGCAAGACAGTAGTATGCTCACCAACTGCGGAAACACGTGTTGAATTGCGGTAAGGAAACGATCGAATGATTTAAATGCAAATATTTGATACAGGTGAGAACTATATCCACCTGTCTGGTTGTCATGATGGTAGCGAATGTGAGAGCCCCGAATGTCCGGATAGTGTAGGATATGAAGAACTGGCTAGCCGTTGCAACCTGGGGAGAACAAATTGTTTAAATCCCATGGCCAAAAGATATATTGGAACTACCATTCAAACAGTTATGGTGCAGCTTCAATTTGTGGTCATGGGAGGGTGTAATTTGAGATAGCTAAAACTGCAACTTGTCCAAGAATTCACATTGTGCTAGACAGGAAAAAAAAAGGGCAGCCCGGTGCATGTAGCTCCCGCTTGCACAGGGTCCGGGGAAGGGTCCGATCACTTTGGGTCTATTGTGTTAGATAGGAAGTCACACAATATTTATGTCGGTTTATTTACATTTCCTAAAATTCGATTTTCTCTCCCTCCACCGATATCCATCAGACTTGTGTTGATGTGCTTCGGGAAGAAAAGGAACAAGCACATTGCATTTTGATTAAAGGGTCAAAAGGTAAGTCTTACAGTGGATAGGATTAGGACGTCATAGAAGCAATCTGGATGACGAACCATAAAGTCCACAGCTGGAAGAAGATGATTCTGGAGAATAAGCCCTGTGAAAGGAAAAAATAACAAAGAAATAAATTATTCATTGCAACTGTTAATAGTGTATTGTACAGTGTAGGTGTAACAGACTAGGTGCGACAGATTAACATGCAAAACTTCAACAGAATCTCCAGTAATAGAAACTTTGATAGCAACAGCTTTGGTCCCAATATAAACTATAAGTTTAACTTCCAAGGAAATGCAAAACATGATCAAACGATAAGACAAGTAACCATTGAGTAAGCAATTACCACTCAAGCTAATAACACAAGAGCACATTGTCGTGTAGAATATTTGGTTGTGAATTTCCATCTCATACCCTTTGAAGAGTTTGTCTTGAAAGGTGCTTGTGAAACCATCAAATCTAGAAATCCAAGAGAAGGAGGATCATGTTAGATAACAACCAGGGTGCGAAAACCAGTCCAAAGAAAGAAAACAATAAACCTTGTAAGCAAATAGTGTGCCACTGCACCGACACTCACACCCTACAGTAGTGACTAGTGGGAAATTGTAAATGTAAGTTGATCTTGTGAACTTTCATGTTTTAGAAATTTACTAGATTACATCCAATCTACAGCTGCAACAACCTCCAAAATTATAATGCCACCATCTCCTCAGCAGTTTAGATACTCAATGAGTCATAGACTCATAGCAATACATGCATTTCGTATGCATAATTCTAGCTAACGATACTTAATGTAATAAAAAATAACATGGTAGAAACTAAAAGCAGACTTGCATGTCAAATAGAGCTGTGAAATCGACAAAATTCACAAAACTGAGCTAGCATTACATTATATCATGAATTAAAATATTATTGCTTATTTCCCAAGCAGAAAATTAAGTAGAAGAAGAGAAGTTGTACCCAAGATAACCAAGCATGAGTGAAACACCCCAAACAGTACTTTCTCTGCCTTTATTAAGTGGACTAACATCCATTGATGCCTGCATCCATGAGACCAGAAAGAAAAATATATAACTTCAGCCACCCCATATGATTCAGGCACCATTCCAAAATACAAAGGTGATCACAGGTGCATTGGCTAATTACCAAATGAAGTAAATTGGTTTCTTAGGGTATGTTCGGATTGTGGCTAAAAGTTACCCTGCCAATATTTTGGTCATGACCAAAACTTGGTCTTTGTATGGAATCATGGCCAATTTTTTGGCATGCCAATGCTTCTTTACCCACCCTAGTTCAGTTTTCTTGCCAAAGTTGGCCAAATCATTGGCTAGCAAAACCTTGACCAGAATTTTGGCTAGCCAAATATTTGGCAAGACAAGCTTAGGCTAAAACCAAACACGCCGTTATTATCAGCTTCCAAAACCCCGTAATCGAATATGTTGCCTAACATAGTGTCGTGAACTGTATGGGCCACTGGATCTGGCTGTATGAGCTACAACAAGGGGCTTGAAACCCATGCCGCTGAAGTAGGTGAAGGCGCACAATTCTACTTACACTAGTGAAGAGAAAGCGACAGACGCATCAGTCAAGACATAGGTGAACCAGAAGAGCCTATTGAAGTGGGGTTGCATCATATACAATGAGAGCCATCTCAACACCCTTCAACACCTCTAACATGACCAGCTTTAGCACCACACCACCATCACCAAGGTAGTTCTTGGACCTGGCTGGGCATGTGACGATGTTGTTTGAGGAGGTGCTCACCTTTGGAGGGCCGACTTCCACGCTCGACTAATCCGCAAAACCAGACTCACACCTGGTAATTCCCCACTGCCTCCACCGAGCTGGCTGCCTTACGGTGTTCGTCGATGTGGCATCGTTGTCCATGGCCACCAGCGATTACCTCATCAAACCATGTCATGGTCAACATCAGTGTCTTCTGCCTCACCAAATCGACACCCACCTACTCGACGTGGGGCCCCGACCACGACATCCGTCCAGAAGACCTCGCTGATGTTTCCTTGACTCCATAGAGTGCACATGCATCCTTCACCATGCCCCCAGAGGACTCGCCAGCCCGCCCTTGAGCCATTACCTATGCTCAACCTCGGCACAATGGTGCCCACCAAATGTTCGACCAAATGCTCTGACCTCAAGGCCAACGTTATGATGCTTGCTTCCTTGCATGGTGCTAAGAGTGCTACCTCAACAACTGTGTTCCTTGAAGACACCCAGTCCAGCTCAATATTGCCTGAAATGTCAGATTTTGTGTGCCCAAATGCTCAGCAGGACACAGCACAAAAGCTGTTCAAGGAGAAGCCTCGTGATGCTGATGCCGAAGTTCAGACTGGGCTGCAACTGCAAGTTGGGAAAACTGTAATCGCCCCTGCTACTAGTCCTGTCTGGTACGCACACAACCTTTGTTAAGCGGTCTGCTCGACAACGGTGCCATCAGTGTCGTCAACATCATCAAGCTGGATACAACTGTGCCCATTAGGCTATTCCCAGTAAGGGTTCTCACCACCGTCACCGCCAAGTCTAATGACTGTGGAGAAGCAACATGTCCTGCGGCTCAAGGATGATCATTCACTTCAAACTTGGTCATGTACTCACTCTTGGAGATGATAGAAGTTGTGATGAGTACAAGGTGGAATGCATGTCAGTTGTTAATTACACAGCTGTGAGCTACCACTGGTTTCCATTCAGAGAGGCAATGGGATCCTAGAGGTTTGTATCCCTCTGCTTGGATTCGCCAACAGAACTTGTAAACAGCAAGGGTGGTCAAACAAGAGTGCATTAAGGAGCCATGGTCGCCACTTCAGGGTATGCAAGGGATGCAATCTTTGAGGAAACAACATGAAGGTGTTTGCTGCTAACGCTATCAATTTTGACCTGCATAAAACTAGCTCTGGTGCTGGAATTAATTCACAAGCTCTTGCAGAGATGATGTGTTTTCTCATGAACTGCTTGCAAGTGGGAAGCCAGGGAAGTGTTAGCCTTACGTACAAACATGACATGGACATGCTATGGATTTCTTTATTACAAAGTCTAGGAAGTATTTTCCATTGTTGCAGCCAAAGCCCCCATGGCCTCATATACTAGACAACTCTAGTGTTGAGATCACAGTAACTGAAGGATTATCAACTCATGTTGTTCGGTTTTATTGCAAGGAAATAAGGTCATTGTTTGGGGGCTCATCAATCAGTCTTTTTATGAGAATGAATCAGTACTGATACTACACTTGGGCTGGACTTGCTCTTCAGTATTCAATAGCTTAAAAAATGCAGCAACAATTACAGTGCACCAAATATGAGACATGGTGCAACCAGCAAGCATTGTAGCTAGCAATGGACATTACTTGGATGGTTCAATGGGAGTGGCCTTGTGTTGATTAGTCTCATGCCGACAGTAATGAGAAGAATACAAGCTTCACCTTTGTGTGGACTCCTTACCAGGACTGCAACTCTGCAAGTGCCTTGGGATCCAGTTGTCCACAGTCCAGGTTCATCCACTTGAGGACAAGCCGGGTGTTAAGGAGGGGAGAATGCATAGACAGATAGACCGTTTGGGCCACTATACCTGGCTGTATGGGCTGCAGTGACAAGGGGGCTAGAAGCCCATGGTGCTGACGCAGATGAAGGTAGGCAACTCTACTTAAGCTGGTGGGGGGCAAGAGATAAGGGCATCAATCAAGAGATAGTGAACCAGAAGAACCCTAGCAAGGGCCTGAGTCCTTCCTCCCTGGACCTCTTCTTCATTGTATCCCCTTCTCTTTCTAGAACCTTTTACCGCTTGTACCCCCTTGTTGCCTGAAACTTCATTCAGTATTGGCTGTATTGAAGTGGGGTCGTAAAAGATAGTTTATAGGGGTATATTTCAAGCCAATCTCCATCCTGCTTTGAATTCAATCCTATAGTATATAGTATATCATTACTACCTAATTGGTAATGTGGTGTGCAGATGGCAGATGCAGTATTGGTTGTTAATGAAATTTCTATATTCTCCAGTCTCAATAACATTTTCTAGACGTGGACAACTAGAGAATCATGCAACATGCAACCATGTCGTGCTAAAAAATACAGAGAAATGAGTTGAGATATTTGAATTACCGGGTATAGAATGAACAATGAGCAGCCCATGGTCACAATGACTGCAAAGAAGTAATCTTTTCCACCGTACTTCTTTTTCATAATTATCGTTCCCCAAATCTACAAATCAATCAAATTGAAGAATGGTCATAACAAGGCTTAATATCCAGGAAATGAAATCAAAATACATAAATTGTGGAACAAAAAAAGAAAGCACGTCCAGATATATAAACTCAAGGCGATTGATATACAATCCTGATTTTCTGTCCATACAAATACAATCCTGATTTTCTATGCTTTAACATCTACCTGAGAGATGAATGAAAGTGGCCAAATAGTAGTATCCGATGAACTGAGAGTCTCAGAATCATCTTGCACAGTAATTTTCACACGCAACTTTAACTTATAAACTAATTCTCCATCTTTGATAGCCACTTTATTCACATAGGTTCAGTTAAACAATAGCACCAAATTAGCCTATGCACAAGTTCCTTACATCGACCACTGTTTATTAACTTGGAAGAAAAGGGAGACATCTATACTCTTCTAGCAGACACTGACAGTGAAGATGTATGAAAATCAGGCTAGCTCACAGGTCACAGTACAAAAGACATTACCATAACAGGAATCATCTTTGCACATTTGGCAAGTGTCTGGACAGGGAAACTCACATACTTGAGGGCCTGAAATAATCATGTCATGTATTATGTACAGAAGCAATAGGAACCAACAACAGCAGATATACAAAACTAATACATAACCTCGTACTGGCAAGTTGTGGTTAGAATGTTTGAGAAGGAGACAACGCAGTATTTCTGAATTGGAGCCACTGGGTCCGTGGACTTCTTACTCGACTGCATAAATATACACAATTTAGGAGACCAGCAGGTTCCGAAAATTTAAGTATTAGAACAAACGATATAGGCAGATCCATACCAGTAGCACGAGTGCAGACACCATGGATGTGGTGATACGGTTACAGAAAACAAGAAATAGTGAGTATCTGAAGAACTCCTTCTCTGCTCCATAGGGAACTCTCATAAGTTTTTCCTGCATAACATTGACCAGAACCCTCCATTTAGTGTTTTATGCCCATTCAACACTATGTAAAGCAGAACTGAGTTTGTTTCAAGCAAGCTAAAGAACAGGTAACGGACAGTCACAAATAGATGCGGTACTTGCACATCAAAGGGTTCAGACGTGTGAATACACCATTCACCAAAGTAACAAGAGGTGATTTAGTTCATGAACAACCACACTATACAGTTTGGCAGCACTGAACTGTTCATATGCAGTATCCGGTCTGAACAGCGAACGGAGCCATAAATACATGTGTCCAAACTAAATTACTAAAAAGAACTATCATGGAACAACCTGATCGTGGAGAATATGTTTTATCTGTATTCTCTGTGTTTTAACAACTATATGATCATGGAGAATATTCTTTTGTCTGGATCTGAGAAATGAATCAAAAGGTGCTCAAAGGAGTGCAAGGAAGAATGCTCCACACTCTCCTTTTACTGCCTGAACTGAACTTTTTAGGTCATACACAACAACATCCCTATCACAACAGAGCATTGATATTTTTCATCGAATACAAGCTACGCATGCTTCCCAAAATGAACTGACAGTACTAGCCATTCACCAACACAAGTACCACCCAATCGCTCGGTACAATTTGTGCAGTTCCATTCTCAATCTGAAGCCTTTGAATGGAACGCGCCGTACACGCTACTGGCCAGCTAACTCCGGAGGCAAGCGCAATCTCACCATTTCGAACCGTGAATTTCGCCGGAGGGAGGAGCAGACAAACACGAACAGATCGCTAGTAATCCCCCGCTATCACCGCACCCGGCGGCACACTCCTCGGTGCGAAAAACCTGGACACGAGTGATTCGAACGGAGTAGAGGGGGGGAGGGGGCGGACCTGTAGGACGCCGTAGACGAGGAGGGTGCTCATGATGCCGACGACGGCGAGCGCGCACCTGCCCATCAAGCGGCGGCGCTCGTCCTTGTCCCTCCCCGCCGCCACCGGCAGCGCCGGCTCGTCCGCCATGGCCAACGAGTAGATCGGGGAGGGGCCGTAGCTTGCTCGGGCGATCGATTGACGGCGACGGCGGAAGAAGTGGGGGGGCACTGGGCTCGGCGGTGGGGCCGGCGCGGGGGCGAGGTGAGGGGGCGGAGGTGGCTCGCCTACCCTTTTCCGGCGTGCGGCGTGTGGGGCAACAGCCTCCCACTGGCCCCCGTGCAGCGTGCAGTGGTTTTTACTTTTTGTTTTCGGCGAATTTTGCTGGCCGTTGGATCTTCTGCTTTGCCCATCGTGCGCCCATGATTGAACCATATCGATCCATTCTTATTTTTGGGTCTTCTAAACAACACAATTGGCTACCACCGGGCATATTGGCTGATATTTATGGTAGATACTAGCACTGTTATGGCATGGAAGACTTCATCACAAGCTCCAACGTACTTGAGGACAGAACGATGATATACACACCATAATTTTCGAACAATTCTCCGACGACGCAGAACATCAAGCCGTCCATTCGTACTACAAACCTGGACATCACCGTCCAATCGTGCATAGTTCGTTCGGCAACTGTCGACAAGCACACCAACACCTTCCTTTTGTCCTCCTACACTACTGGAATCAGCTACTTTGCCATCTGCCAGCTATTTGCCGTCCGCTAGCGGACGGCAAAGAAGCTCTTTGCCATCAGCTACCTAAAAGCAGACGGCAAAGAATAGGTTGATGGCAAAGAAAGCCTTTGCCATCAGCCTATTCTTTGCCGTCTGCTAGCTGACGGCAAAGAATCCGCTAGCGGACGGCAAAGAGGGAGGGGGCCCCACTGAGGAGCTGGTTAAAAATACTTAACGGCCCCCCTCTTTGTCGTCCGCTAGCGGACGGCAAAACGCACATTAGCG